CTCGCTGCTCAGCCAGCGGCACTGACAGCCGGACAGCCTGACAGCCTGACAGATCGGATCCAGTCGGACAAGGGAACAGCGTTAAGGGTGAGGAAGCAGATGAAGCCTGGCGGAGTCAGTCTTTTGCGACACCGGCGATGCGTCTGCTTTAATCTGATCGTAATGCCAAAAATCGATATAAGACGCTGCTTTCATCGCCAGACCAGAAAAGGCTAGCTTAAGCCTGATCAGTCGGTCGGTCTTACGTCCGGTCTTACGGTCGTTAATTAGTTGTCAGGTGAAACTGCGGTTACTGTGAGTTACGTGGCGGTTAGAAATGTTTCCAAAGTTATCATCGAACGGGCCAATAAATAGCAAGGGGCACACTCATATACTAGAATTGGAGAAAGCGTCGGTTGTTGTGTCTGGTCGAGGCTGTAGCAATCACTCCGGATTAGAGTAAGCCAAAATCGACAATTTTCAGATCGACCGCCGAAAACGTGTCGTCACCGCAAGCCGGTTCGACTCTGACTTACTCTCGTCAACAAATTTTTCAACGGCGGCGTAATACTGATACCAAGCCGTCCTTCTTGGAGAAAACAAACGCAAACAAAGACAGCACTACTACTCTCCATGACGACGATCGAGTACACAAATTCGTAACGTCATCCTTTACCTTTCCTCATCCTTTCACTTTGAGTTTCCCAATACAGCAACCCCCTACCTGATTGAAAGACGCAAGATTTGAAAATGAAATGGATCATGAATCGGAATCAACTATCGTTAAACTGAGCGGTTCTTCTAGGTGTTGGCGGTAGCATGATTATCACTGAAAAGTAAATGTGAATCTGCACGTTTTTCCAAACAACGAAATCTCGGCGGCTGAACTTAGTTCATGGGTCTCGCCTTTAAGATCTACAGTAATTACAGCACTTCCCTTTTGCAGAGACCACAAAGTTCTCGAAACTGGTCACTCCCAATGGTATTAAGACATATGCGATGTATGTAAGCATGAAACAGTGCAAAATATCAGCACCCTCGGATAAACATAAGCCTATTCGAAAGGCCAATGTAAATAATGTAAATGCAGCATTTCAGGTTTATATATCATGTTCTCTATATGCTGTTATTTTTCTGTGCAAGTGCGAAATAATGACATATACCGTAGGCTTGGAAAGCATTCATTATTTCCGCAGCTGAAAAGGGTGGTGCATCAAAACATGGCACACTGCGAAAAAGCCAAAAAACCGAGTCATTGAATGGAAAACGACCAGCGTAGGTGGAAAGAAATGAAAAGTTGCCAATCAGTCACAGAGCCAAACGTAGTGTAGTAAGATGAGCAGAGAGAAGAAACCACTGCCTTTTTATCGTTACAACCTCACCATTCGGATTGAAAAATTTTTCCTCCTTTCACTCTTGTATATCTCTGTGACATTTAGCGTATATGACATTTGTCTTTGCTAATAATGTAATGCATTCTAATTCAACACAATTGAACCTACTCTCAACCGAAGCTAGAAATCCTGTATAACTTAAGTCCACTTTCCAAACTGGGGTTCGAAGCATTAAACGTGATGCATCCCACAGCTGGTTCAGTATAATAAGAGCCAAATTGTCGCACGCGCATCTTGCGACTGGTTCAGAATAATCGAGCACTCATTGTGCCAGAAACATCCAGCGAACTGACAAAGGCAGTGTCATGTCACAGCGTGGGTTTGTTCGCCGTGATGTGCATAATTGTCATAATAATATAACTCTACCTTTCTTGCTGATCGATCATCGTGCCATGAACCTCATGCAGCTGGTAGTCGAATTTTTTGCCTCTGTGTAGAAAATTACCACATGCTCTACCAGGCGAATGTCGTGTTGATCGATCAGCAAAGAGAAAGAGTCAATCAAGTTGATGCGCATGGCATTGCTGCGCATCTCTGTTAACAAAACCATGATGTGCAACGGCAGCGCCAGTTTGCTTGACATTTATTGGGTATGGAGTGTAATTAATAGCCTCTTGTAAATAAGACACTTGTTGTTGTCCATCAATGCTGCCTTTGACTATCGTTAGAGTTATTTTGGATGCGACCCTTCAGCTTGCAGCTTCTTATTGTTTTCTTTCAGCATGGTGTTTCAGCGGCTGTTTAGTAACAGGAATGAAAACTGAAATCAGTCCTGTGCACGATGTCGATAACAATCACATTGGTAATACATATATTAACTGCCATAATACGTCAGAAGGTTTTGCGTCCACTAATGTCTAGATCCTTTGCAGACTTCCACTGGAAAACATCTTTTCTGTTAAAAATATCAGGGCATATTAAATAATTGATTAATGATTTGGGCTTATCAGTAGACTTAAATTAGAGCTAGTCGATATAGCAATTTACAATTCTTGAACATTAAAGTTTAAATTTTCATAACGTTTTAAAACTATATTAAAAAAGATTAAAATTTTAAAAATGGTATTGCGAAAAATTTTTAGCGTTTCAGGAGATATGTTTCTATTTATTGTCACTTAAGTTCAGTGTGCGCATGAGCACTGTAGATCCAGCACCTTGAAGGTCCAAGCTGATGCATTCAACAAGTGTAATGATCGTAATTCACAAGATGAATGACAATCTGCTCGTACTAGGTGAAATCTATTGATCAATATAATTAAATTATGCCGCTGTCTGCTCAGAGCTAGCGAAAAATTTTTCAACCGTTATTACTCACCACACGCACATGTAAAATTCAGTTTTATCGCTTCGTTTGAAAGCATCTGTACGTTGTAGCATAAACTTAAACAGATACTTATTAAACCATTAGAAAAAGTATGTTATGAACTTCTCTACTTCCTTTACGTCCTCATATCCAGAGCACATCGGTTTGACTGCCGGGTACTTGCTGTGATTGAAACAACGAGCAGCGTCTACATCACAGTGGCAGAGTTCATGGGCAAATTCGTCATTTTCATAACCTAAAAAATAATTCTGATGGTAGGATAATTTTTATTGTTTTACCGTTGCACATCACGTCTCCATTTATACATTGAAAGTCGTATGAAGAAAAGAAATTCCACCAGCTTCCTTGCGAAACTTTCGCGTAGCAAAGATCGTGAAGCTGACAACAACGGTCGATTGCGTCCACCGGCTGCCCTCTACCACCGAAACCACAGTAGCATCCGTAGTTGTTGTAATACAAGGCCTCACGTTTCGTAACACACCTTATCACCTGTGCGAAATCATAGATCGACCCTTGAACTTTAGGATTTTCTACAGAACAACAAATATTAGCTAAATTGGCGAGAGATGCATTCATAAAACGTAAAAATTCCATCTACCACTAGAAGCGACGTGGTGCAGTAGCTTTAATTTCTGCTCACATTGTCAAAAGATTGCTCTAGAATGCGCACGCTGCAAAATGCTCTTGACTGCTATTCATCATCGGGAAACAGCTACTCCCTTAAGTGCAGTCAGTAAAGAAAATGATAAAAAATCAATTATGTTCGATCTATGCCTTGAGATACCAAAGTTATATTAAAAGTTTAATTTATGATATTTTCGTTGCAGTACAATTCACAACGTTCTCAGGTAAACAAAAATCATGGCAACAGAAAGCGCCATCAATTACATGACATCACTTTTGCGTTTTAAACCGTGGATCAAGTGGAAGGATAGAATTATTGAGCTATTCGGCATATTCAGCAGTTTCAAGCACAAATGGTTCGAAGACAAAGTGTGCATTCTGTGCGCTATAAAGGTTTCCTCATATTAATTATGCTGAAATTAACAAAACTAAAATACAAGACACGTTCTCAACAATAATACGAACCACTTTGAGTTCACGGAGCAGCTCTGAATGTAATGTTTAACTTTGAATTCACTATCCATTAGTTTACCATTTGCAGATTCACGAACTACGGCATTTGTACCATAGCTTTTCGTTTGTTATAAAGCATTGCTACTAGTAAAGACAAGCTTGCAACGGACGAACGAATTAAATATCTAGATATCATTCTTCCCTCAGATGAGAAATGGCGTCCTTAAATTTTGCTGATGTTAGGAATGGTGGAAAAGCGAACGCTTACCACAGCCAATTAAACAA